TCCACACCACATTGCGTTCTATTAAAAGAAGAAAGGGTATGCAAACAGGGTCACTGGCTTTGCCATAAACTTCCCCACTGTCTCCCGCCGCGTCCCCCTTGTAAGCACAGTGTATGAGGGGAGAATGGTCCTGGTGATTGAGAAGCTCTGATGCCAGCCTGAAAATATGATATGGATGCGAGTGTTGGAGCAATGATGTCCTGTAAGCTTGATAACATATTGGTACATAAGACGTGCGCAGATCAGAAAGGCACGTCAACACTGGTTTAGGGTTTGGCACTAACATGCGTAAGCCACAGCATACAACAAGTGTGAGATTTGTACAGCCACAGCCAGTAAGTGTGGGTGCCTACGCCGATGATATACAACATGTTGAAATGTGTTTGGCAAGGCAAAAATGAATGAAGTGCATGAGCCAATACCTTCTGCAAGACAGTTGATTCTTCCGACACGAACATATCCCAGTTCACGCACACATGTTGGCACCAAGCTGGGCCCGTCTGGGTAGCACATGCCATGACCATCACAAGCACTGGTGGTATTGGTGATGCCACAGAACCCCATGCACTCTACTGCAGGCCGCTGCTGCGTGACCGAACAGGTGGGCGGCTGTGTGAAGCAATTGCCAGGAACATGGCGGTCAGTGCAGGTATATATTGTAAGTGAACCCGTGAAGTAGTTGCTCGAAAGGTCAATTCTGGACAATGAAAGACCCGTAATGGGGCCCGAGAAGTAGTTGTGAGAGGCGTCACTGCCATGATGCGATGAGGCAGAAAATGGTTATAGGGAACACAGTATAGGGAAAAAAAAAAATTGTTACATACGCAGTAAAAACGTTTTTGTGGAATGAAGGCATGCAAAGACATGGGAGGGAGAGGCGACATAGGGGAGAGAAGGAGGAGGGGGGTGGGGGGAGGAGGAGGAGGAGGAGGAGGAGGAGGAGGAGGAGGAGGAGGAAGAGGAGGAGGAGGAGGAGGAGGAGGAGGAGGAGGAGGAGGAGGAGGAGGAGGAGGAGGAGGAGGAGGGAGAAGGGAGGAGGAGGAACAAAAAGAGAAACAGCACAAGGAGGCAGCGGAAAGAACTGGATGAAGCCGAACAAAAGGATAGTTAAGACATAGAGCTGGAGAATTGGAGCATTAAGACAGTTAAACAGGGAATGCATCACATCACGGGGGAGGAGCGAGGAGAATAAATGTTGAAGCTAGAATAGAGCATGCACAACAGAATTCAGACCACGAGTCAGCTTAAGCCTAAAGGGCAGGTGAAGGACGCAGAAACAGGATGACTTTACGGAACAAAGATGAGTGTAATGGTGTAGGGAGTTACAAGCCATACGGAAGCAATGGGTTACGGTGGGGGAGTTTGCAGAAAACTAAATAAGGGCGTATATCAGTTCATGTCATGAGCGCTGTGCAGGGCTACTGTTTGTGTCATCCTAAACCCACTCTTCCCCATCAGTGGTTTTTGGATGACACAAACAGTTGCTACGCAAACTGCCCATGACACAAGCTGAAATAAACCATAACCCGAAACAAGGCGGAAAGAGAGTACAGGAAAGAAGATAAATTTACAGTTCAAAGGAGGGGTGAGAAAGGTTATATAACATTCTCAACATAAGACAAACGTAGTTTTGATATCAGTGGTACTTGGAGGAAATGTAAAATGTAAGCAGAAGCAAAGAAATTCAATGCAGTGGCAACAGTATAACAATTTGAGAATCCGAAAGTGCAGGGAAGCAGATGAGAGCAGAAGGCAGTGAACGAGGGAAGGGGAGAGAGGACATTGACATTTTAATAGGCGAGACCTTGGTATGACTATTATGATGGATTCATATTATGTTTGGGCCGACTTTGGAGCCTACATAAAATTTACGTTTCTTCTCACCATTTTTCCTGAATGGGTCACACCCTGGATTCTACAGTGGTTTCACCTTAACCTGGTCAGTAAATAAATCTAACCGTATGGTTAAGGGTTCATGGTGAAACCCCAATCCAGGCTAGAGACGGTGCGAATAATGTTTTGGTTTCCAGGGTAACACTCTGGTAGGCTCATAACCTCATTTCAACACGGAAGAACAACAGGGGATGGATGCAGGAAGGTCATGTTAGCCCTCTTTTGCCTCCCACGAATTGCATCTTCTATGTTCAAAAGCTTCATTCCAACGACTCACTCGACTTGCATGCTCCTCCAACCCTCTCCTTCCTCGCAGCCCTCGCAAAACACTTCCCCTCTTCTGTCTCTCCCTCCATTCTGTTCCATGATAACTGCTCCATGATAACTTCTTGCCATTGTAAGCTACTCGTCACCACTCCATATAGCTCGATATAAATCTCCAATAGTCTTACCTCAGGCTTCCAAAACATATTCTCACACAACGTGGGATTGGGAAGTAGACAAGAAGAAAACCACTAGAGGCCTCACAGGAACGCCAAGGAAAGTAAGGATGCGGTAATGCCAGAAGGAATGGGACCACTGAATCGATTGTTATTGAGGGTCCTGAGAGAGGTACCACACAGGGACGCCCAAGACAGAGAAACTATGGGACAGACTGGTATTACAAGGATACAACAATGGCATCGCAATTTAATGTCTGGGATCAACCATCCATGTTCATAGTGTCAATATTCGCATTTCTATATTTGTTCTATGTACTGGGACACAATGGACCAAGCGTTCAGGGAGAAGGCATTACAAGTAATTCAGTCGAGTGAGGGTTGAAACAAATGAAATATTGCCCGTAAGCTTGTTGCTGGCCAATGTACTGCACTTTCAGCAAGGGCATAACGGGTACATTCAAGTGGCGGGAAACAGTGAAGTTACGACTTTCATCGACGCAACATTTCTAAAAGAGAAAAATGAAGGAGATGAAAGGTGAGAACCAGGACAGAGGCTTTTCAGAACACGGGAGTCAAATGGGGAAATTTGTGAACAATACCATGGCCGGATGCACAATAATATTAGGAAATGATGGTAACAGGAAATCAACAGTGGAGGAAGCTGGTACCAGAGAAGAGAACCGAAGGGAGGATGACAACAGAAATAAAACAGCACATGACTAGTAAGAGAATAAAGACATGTACATATCTGTACTAAGACCATCGAACAGCACTCTCTTGGCCATGAAAGGTGGAATCAGGTCAACAAAAGGCCCATACAATACTGTCAATTCTTTTAGCGAGCTAAGGGTGGTAGGAACGGGGCCCTCGAGCTGATTTCCTCCGAGATAACTATGTTTGTGAGGGTATGGAGAAACACCAAGCAATGCACGAGAGATGTAGGGGTGGCTGAGTGGGAGGGTATGAGATGAAAAATGTATCTAGTTCATGGGCAAGGATTTGAGAAAAAACAAGAAGAGAAAAGAAATTGTGAATCCTGAAACCGGATCAGAATGGGAACAATGGGGTACACATGTCACATGAGCATGAACATGTCTTTTCCTGGGCCAAAGCGGCACTTGGCTGTCCTATTCGACTCAAACCGGTCTTCTTCTGGGCCAAAGCGTGTCGAACAAACAGGGTTCGTTTTTTTTTTTTTTGCACAAACTAGGATGGCTTTGGCCGCACAGCTGATCTTATTGCTAATTTTCAAGCTCCAACACCCTTCACACCCTACCCTTTCCTTCCAGCAATAGCATAATGACTTATATGGAGTCAGAAAACACAATACTTCAGGCCTGAATCGGACCAAAACAGGTCTGACATGAAACACCATGTGGACTGACCCCACTTGCATATCCGTGAGTCAATTCATACAAAAGAAAGGGTATAATTTACTCTTCGGGGAGTCGTACGTCGGAGCAATGAAAAATGAAATTGAGCACATGGTGCTAGCTACAGCAGTGCGGAATGGAAGGAGAGAGGCATTGAGGATAGAAGTGATTAAGGGTAAATCTTTTAATAGCACACATAAATTAGTCGATCTTAAGAGAAGGCAAATTAAAATTGAGTACGTTAAAGCTGGAACCTTACAGCCATGACAGCCTTTTGAGATTGCCGATTCCGGATGGAATTGAGCCTGTGAGCTGACTTCTATCAGCACGTCTGTGAATCGTGAAAGTGTGAAAACAGAAGATACAGGGGTGGATGTGAGGAGGGAGGACTCATAATAGAATAGGGGAGGTATGGAAGAAAAAAACTATTCAAGTATGGAAATGGGCATTGGACAGGAGAATATTGCAGAGGGATGGTATGAAAACGAGATGAAGCGGAGCACATGGGACAGATGGTGAGCAAAAAAAAAATGAGGGCAGGAATAAAAAAAGGAAAATAGGTCAGGATGATCAACATTGAAATGCAGAACAAACGAACATGAGAGGTTCTGTTAGTGCGGTCATGGAGGCTGTAGTTTGTCCTCTGCACAACATGGGCTGTATCCTACACGAACCGTCTGCAGCGTTAAGTCCTCCCACAAACCCTCCCACAAATGGGTTGTTCCTTATTGCAATCGGCCTAAATTATGTGCAAGGGGGCTATAAGCATAGATTATGGGATGTAAAATCTGGTGGTGGTGTATGGGAGAGGAGATATACCATGGTAAGGACGTGGTCTCATTAGTGAGGAGAGGAGAGGACACAAATTGAAGAGGAAAGAAAATTTAGGAGGCAAAACAGCTGATCTGGAGGAAGAGGAAGAGATGGGAGAGCAGAATGAATCGGATCTGACAGGTAAATAAGTATTGTGAGTTTGCTGATTTCGTCAGGGATTGAACCACTGAGCTGATTTGGGCCAAAACTTCTGCCATAACCAATAAATGCACGCACGTCATAGACAAAGTACGTTTTGTTGCAAACAAAGTGCTTAGGAAAAACAATGAGTAGCACCACAGCAACATTAGGAGAGTCAATGTTATGCAAAGACAATCGCAAAAAAGAATGGGAGTCAGGACTTGTGTGTTGAGAGAACTGTTTTGCCTGCCCCAAGGTGTGAGGAACGGACAAGGCAGAGGGAGACGATGGAATGAGCAGAGTGTTGGCGAGTAGTGAAATGAGATGATACACGAGACTATAGACGGAAGGGCCTGACGGGGAGGAAGGGAAGACTGCAGAGGAGAGACGAAGCAGAAACAAGCGTGGGAAATGGCACAGAAGAGGACGAAAATCACAGCCGTGCCTCCACACACCCACCGAAGCCTCCAATTTTGTAGCCCTTTTCCCCACCAATCGCATTGTCTATCTAACAACTTGTATTCCAACTTCTACGTTCTCCGGGAGTGCCGCGGAATTGGAGCATTCTTGCATGTATATGTGGTTTTAAACTGGCGACTCTTGCTTCCATTCTTGCTGGACTTAAACACCACGTTGATATGCTCCAAAACAGCATAATCACAATCCGCCTACCAGGGTCTTGCTGCTACTTTATTAGTCTAACATAACTCTAGGTCGGCAACAGTCTACTTGCTATCGCCTATCGTGTTCTCCACGATCTCACGAATCCAACGATATGCGCAGCTCTGCTTGAAGTTGTCAATACACACTTCAGCAATTTTCAGAATCTCAATGTTGTGTTTTCCAGAATGAGTACAAGCAATTTTATAGTCAGGCAAGACACTTTGCAATTCGTAACGTAACTTGTATCCCAATGTTACGAGTGTGAAAATATTAGGTGTGGGGCCTAGGCTTAGTAGCCTAGGCCCACACTAGGAGATAGGTAAGTTCGAGTGGGTTAGGTGAGAGTCGAGAAATTGGAAGGGAAGTGACGTGACTAGCAAGAGTTGGGATACAAGTACATTGCCCTAAATTGGGTTGTACTCATTACAGAGTACCCCACTGCAGGCTAGACAGCAAATATATTCTGACACACCCCCATAGCCAAAGTGGGGTGAAATCAGCAGAGCAGGCAAAGCAGTACAAGCTCAGGGTGGATCACAATGTCACCACACATTCTGAGCACAAGTTCAAGAAGCAATAGTTAAAGTGCACAATTATCAGCAAAGCTAGTGGTGGTCACAACGGGCAGGTGAGGAGGAGGAGGGAGAGTGAGAGGAGAGGAGATGGGAGGCGACTGCTGAAGCTGCAGACACACGGGCAACAGGAACGGCTGGCACAGTGGCTACCGGGACAGCGCCCCGGACTACTGGAGTAACTGGCTCGGCGGCTACGAAGAGCGGCAAGAGCAACGGACCCACGGGCGACAGGCGCAGCAGGCTCACTGGGCTACCAGGACAGCGCCCCGGACTACAGGTGCTGCGGACTACAAGACGGCAGCCTCCGCTCAACCTCCCACAAACAGTCCCACCCCCCTGACACACACCCGCTGCTACACCCCTAGCTCCACTCCCACGCACCCCCCTTAAACCCTAAACCCCAGTCTCCCACACAACCACCCCCCTCAGCGACAGCTGCAGCAGTGGGAGACGACGCAGGAGGAGAAGGAAGGGGCGACACAAACGGAGCACCCCCACACCCGCAAACGGGGGGGGGGGGGGACAGTGCGCACGAGGGCGCAGACAGTAGCAGAGCGCACGGGGGCGCGAGCACGAGACACGGGCAGTAACAGGCACGGGCAGCACAGGCACGGGCAGCACAGGCACGGGCAGCACAGGCACGGGCAGCAACAGGCACAGGCAGCATAGGCACGGGCAGCACAAGCACGGGCAGCACAGGCACGGGCAGCACAGGCACGGGCAGCAACAGGCACGGGCAGCACGGGCACGGGCAGCACAGGCACGGGCAGCACAGGCACGGGCAGCACAGGCACGGGCAGCAACAGGCACGGGCAGCACAGGCACGGGCAGCAACAGGCACGGGCAGCACAGGCACGGGCAGCACAGGCACGGGCAGCAACAGGCACAGGCAGCACAGGCACGGGCAGCACAGGCACGGGCAGCACAGGCACGGGCAGCACAGGCACGGGCAGCAACAGGCACGGGCAGCATGGGCACGGGCAGCACAGGCACGGGCAGCACAGGCACGGGCAGCACAGGCACGGGCAGCAACAGGCACGGGCAGCACAGGCACGGGCAGCAACAGGCACGGGCAGCACAGGCACGGGCAGCACAGGCACGGGCAGCACAGGCACGGGCAGCAACAGGCACAGGCAGCACAGGCACGGGCAGCACAGGCACGGGCAGCACAGGCACGGGCAGCACAGGCACGGGCAGCAACAGGCACGGGCAGCACAGGCACGGGCAGCACAGGCACGGGCAGCGCAGGCACGGGCAGCAACAGGCACGGGCAGCACAGGCACGGGCAGCAACAGGCACGGGCAGCAACAGGCACAGGCAGCACAGGCACGGGCAGCACAGGCACGGGCAGCACAGGCACGGGCAGCACAGGCACGGGCAGCACAAGGCGTACCGGGCCCAGGGGCGGCTTCTGGGGTCCAGGGGCGGCACCTGCAGCTGGGCGGCGGTAGCTGCTGCGGCAGAGCGGCGGCGGCTGCTGCTGCTGATAGAGCGGCGGCTGCTGCTGCTGGGTCGGTGGCGGCAGCTGCTGCAGGTCTGGCGGCGGCTGCTGCTGCAGACTCTGGCGGCGGCTGCTGCTGTAGACTCTGGCGGCGGCTGCTGCTGCAGGCTCTGGCGGCGGCTGCTGCTGCAGGCTCTGGCGGCGGCTGCTGCTGCAGACCCTGGCGGCGGCTGCTGCTGAAGACCCTGGCGGCGGCTGCTGCAGCAGGCTCTGGCGGCGGCTGCTGCTGCAGACCCTGGCGGCGGCTGCTGCTGTAGGCCTGGCGGCGGCTGCTGCTGCAGGGCGGCGGCGGCTGCTGCTGCAGGAACTGACGGCGCCCCGCGGGTCCCGCATGGGGCGTCGCGACGAGCAGGGGCGACGCCCCGCGGGTCGCGCACGGACGTCGCGACGAGCAGGGGCGACGCCCCGCGGGTCCCGCACGGACGTCGCGACAAGTAGGGCGGCGCCGCGCGGGTCCCGCACGGACGTCGCGACGAGCAGGGGCGACGCCCCGCGGGTCCCGCACGGACGTCGCGACGAGCAGGGTGACGCCGCGCGGGTCCCGCACGGGCGTCGCGACGAGCAGCGGGGAGGGCAGCGCGCAGGCCCCCCGAGGGCGCTTCGAAGGACGGGAAAACCGCCGCGCGCCCCGAGCGCACGGCAGGAAGAAGGACTGCAGCGGAAGCATAGGGGCCCACAGGTCAAGGTAGAACGGGCTCTGATAACATGTGAAAATATTAGGTGTGGGGCCTAGGCTTAGTAGCCTAGGCCCACACTAGGAGATAGGTAAGTTCGAGTGGGTTAGGTGAGAGTCGAGAAATTGGAAGGGAAGTGACGTGACTAGCAAGAGTTGGGATACAAGTATATTGCCCTAAATTGGGTTGTACTCATTACAGAGTACCCCACTGCAGGCTAGACAGCAAATATATTCTGACAACGAGTGCAATTGAGTGAACGAACGAGAATTGCACTATCGAAGCAAAAAGTACAAAAATGAGCGAAGACATGAGCGAAGGATTATATAGCGAAACAATAGTGGTAACGGTAATGGACTGTGGTTGTCGCGCGGCGAGCCTGGGGCTGAGGTTGGGAAAGTGTCGAAGCGTAGGCCCGGAGCGCGGGTTACCAGCCGAGCCGTGAGGTTGGGATGCGATGTGCAAAGAGGGCGGGATAATGAATGATGCGATGGTCGTGAGTGGTAACGGTGCTGACTGAGGTGCTACAGTGACGTACGCGTTGAGCAGGGACGCGAAGTAAGGAAAAGGGAATTTCCTTACACTACCCCCCTCCCCAAGGAGGCCCCTCTTACGAGAGCGCATGGACGTCGCGGAAATTTCGGCTTCGCAGATACTCGGGGAAGACAGGGTGGTTCTCAATTTTATCCAGGGGGACCCAGTTGTCTTCTGTGGGCGTTCGGTCCTTCCAGCGAATTAGGAACTCTATTCTTCGGGCTCCCCGAGGGTCGCGGACTCGGTGGCTGAGGATTTTTTCAGGGGTGATGAGTGGTTCGGTTGGGGGACGTGTCATGCTGGTTGGGCGATTTCGTGGCAGTTGGCTCGTGGATGGGATGTAAGGGCGAAGTAGGCTGACGTGGAATGACGGGCTGACGTACCAGTCAGCAGGGAGGAGGAGGTGGGCGGTGACGGGTGTGATCATGTGGCTGATGCGGAATGGCCCACAATACCGGGGGCGAAGTTTTGGAGTGATGGGTAGGCGAAGATTCTGAGTGTCGAGTAAGACGAGGTCGTCGGGCGGATAAGTAACGGGTCTGCGATGTCGATCGGCGTTACGTTTAGCGATGATGTTTGATTTTTTGATTGCTTCTGCTGCCCTGGTCTGTGCTGCTTGCAAAATCTCGGCGAACTGTTGTGCTCGTGGGACTGGGTTGTCGGGATTCGGTGTCATGGGTACTGTTGGGTCCTGTCCGTAATTCAAATAAAACGGCGACTGTTGCGTCGTGGCTGATGGTGCGTTATTGTATGCGAACTCGATAAGTGGCAGCTGCTGTTCCCACGTATTTGGGTCGTCGCACGTGGCTCGAATCAGCTGCTCCATGGTCTGATTTGTCCGTTCCGTCTGTCCGTCGGTTTCGGGGTGATAGGATGAACTGAACTGTAAGCGCGTGCCGAACTGCTGCCACAGGTTCCGCCAGAAGTTGCTGGTAAATTTCGTGTCCCTGTCGCTGATGATCGACGCGGGTATCCCGTGCAGTCGTACGACGGTGGAGATGAATAGTCGGGCGGTTTCTTCGGCTGTGATGGATTTCCTGCATGCTGCGAAATGAGCCATTTTCGTTAGTCGATCGACGACGACCAGGATCGCGTCATTCCCACTCGCCCCAGCTGGTAACCCCGTGACGAAGTCCATCGTCACCTGCTGCCAAGCACGCTCTGGAGGCGGGATGGGTTGTAATTGCCTCGCTGGTCGCTTCCTGCTTGACTTCATGAGCTGGCAAGTGGGACACGATGCCACGTGTCGTTGCACATCGGTCAACATTTCTGGCCAGTAGTAGTACCGCTGCAGCTGCTGCCGTGTTTTTTCTACCCTGAAATGTCCCGAGGTAACTCCGTCGTGTGCTTCCTGTAACAGTAGTTCCCGCAGTAGCGTGTATCCCGGTACCCAGATGCGGTCGGTTCCAGTTTTTACGTAATAGACTCCTTTTGCCGCTGCGAATTGCTGTGAGTTGCCTCCTGTAAAGAACGAGTCTGTTTGATATCCGTGGGTAAATAGGCCGGTAAGCAGTGGGCTGGTCTGGGCGAGTAGTATCGCGTGGATCTGGGCAGTGGGGCGGGTCAGTGCGTCGGCGATATTCGATGCTCCTTTTTTGTATGTGACCGTATAGTGAAAATTCGACTCGAGGAAATCGAGCCATCGAATCTGTCGTGGGTTGAGGTGGGGCTGTGCGCGGAGGTACTGTAGAGATCGGTGGTCTGTCCGTACTGTCACGTCTGCGCCAGTCAAGTAGCAGCGCCAAACTTTGAATGCATGCACGATCGCGAGCATTTCGCGGTCGTGTATCGGGTAATTTCGCTCAGGCGGATGTAGTTTGCGTGATTCGTAGGCGATGGGTTGGAGGCCGTTGCCGAAGTCCTGTAACAGTACAGCTCCGATGGCGATGTCACTTGCGTCGGTAACCACTTCGAAAGGGCGGTGGGGATCAGCGATACGTAGAACGGGTGGTGAACAGAGGACTGTCAGAATCAGCGAACAGGAATGAATCAACTAGAAGTGAAAAGAGTACAAGTAGTAAACCCTAGAATTGTGTACCCCCTATGGGCTAACCCACTATAGCCTACACAAGTATAACATATATAATGTTTGACACACCCCCATAGGCAAAGTGGGGGAGAACAAGGGGTCACAAGACCAGTCAAGCAAAGCAAAGCAAGCTCAGGGTGGATCACAAAGTCACCACACAGTCCGAGCACAAGAGCAAGGCCAGAGGCCAGTTCACATGCAGGAGTACAGACATATATATAAAACTAGACAAGCAAGAGCAGGTATATATATATGTCACAGTACAAGTAAAGTCAAGAGGAGAGCAAGTGAGGCAAGACAAACACAAGACCCAGCTGGGTGCAAAAGCGGTGATGATCACAAGGCGCGAGTGCCTTGGTGAACACATCAGCAGTGTTGGCCTCAGAGGCCACGTACGCAAGTCGCAACTGACCACGCTGCTGCAGCTCACGAGCAAGGAAGTAGCGGAGAGCAATGTGCTTCGTTCTGTGCTCCAAGCGCTGCTCTCGACACAAGGCCAGCATGGCCTTGTTGTCTACGTACAGCACTGGAGGAGAACGAGGCGGCTCTCCAAGGTCAGTCAGCAGGTAGGTGAGCCAGCGAAGCTCCTGTGCAGCCATGGCCCCGGCGTAGATCTCAGCCTCACAACTGGAGCCGAGAACCGAAGACGAGCGAGTAGACCGCCACGAGACAGAGCCGGAACCAAGACTGAAGGTGTAACCCTGTGACGACCGCTGCGTAGCCTGGTCGTCAGCCCAAGAAGCGTCCGCGTGGCCGGTAAGGACCACTGGACTCCGCCCTCCAAGCACAAGCCCCATGCCCGACGTACTGCACAGGTAGCGCAATACCCTCTTCGCTGCAGCCATGTGCTCTGGTCTGTGTCTCCCAGGAGCAACATAGCGTGCAAGAATGCTCAGAGGATATGCAAGGTCAGGTCGTGTGCAGGTCATCAGGTACATGAGGCAGCCAACAAGCTCTGCATACGGACCACTCGACTCTACGGACTCATCCGAAGGCAGAGCTGAGAGTGAGTGGCGAGTAGGCAGAGGAGTGGCCTGAGGCGAGGAATACGTGAAGCCGAAGCGCTGAAGGACCTGCTGCACCATGTGTGACTGAGTCAAGGTAATGGTGCGGCGTGCTCTGTCCCGAGTGATCTGCAAGCCAAGGTAGCTGCGCAGTTCACCCAGGTCTGTGCACGTGTGTCTCTTCAGCAGTTCGGACTTCACGTAGGCGAGTCCAGCAGTGTCCGCTGTGGCAAAGACCAAGTCGTCAACGTACACGAGGATGTAGAACGGCGGCAGTGAAGTGTCGGTGCGCAGAAACAGCGACGGGTCAGCAGTAGAAGGAGCAAACCCAAGAGCCGCAAGCGTAGTCCTCAGTGTGTCGTGCCACTCACGCGGTGCCTGGCGGAGACCGTAGACTGGCCGTCGGAGGCTCCACTGGGTGCCAAAAGGGAAAGTCCCAGTGAAGCCAGGTGGACGGCGCAGCCAGATCTCCTCGTGCAGGCTACCCTGCAGGAACGCAGTGCTGAAGTCGAGAGAGTGAAGCTCGTAGTCGCGCTGAGCGGCTATGTGCAGCAGCACCCGAAGAGTGGTCATCTTCGGGGTGGGAGAGAAGGTCTGAAAGTAGTCAACTCCCTGCCGCTGACTGAAGCCACGAGCAACGTACCGCGCCTTGAAGACAGGTGGAGAGCCCGGCGGCCGCTTCACCCGGAAGATCCACATGCCACTGACGATGTTCGCCCCAGGAGGGGGAACTGCGTCAACGTAGGTGCCTGTGGACTTCCAGGAAGCCATCTCTGCATCCATAGCTGCCTGCCACTGAGAGGAGTAGGGACCCTCTACGGCCTCCGCGTAAGAACGCGGAGTCGGGATGTCTAGTGCATCCGGGTCTCCCTCAGGGGCAAGCAGTACAGACGCGAGATGAGGTGAAGCAGCCGCTAGACACTGTAACTCCTCCTGTCTGTCCTCTAGGACGTCCGTGCCAAGAGCACACTCACCCCCGACGGACGGAGGACAGACAGACGCAGACTCAGCAACAAGACCAGCAGCGTAGTCGAGACGACAGCGAGCAGCAAAGTCAACGAGCTCAGCGACTAGAGCCGACGCAGCAGTGGA